ACCAAGTGCTTCAAACACGGTAGCCGCACCAGGGAGGAGAGGACAGGGAGGGAGGCAGGGCTCACCAGAGGATCCACGCTATCTGCTTTCCAAGCAAGACAAAGGCTACCAGTCTTTGAAGCATGAAGCATGAAGCATGCAGCTGTCTTCCTAAGACAGTCTGTCCCCCAAGTGTACCCATAAAGGAGCACGAAGAATGCAGACTGAAGAGGAAATCTTTGTCGGATTTGTTCTACGTCTTCTGATTTGCCCAACCACCCTGTGATGAATTTATGGCCCTGCTGGGAGAGAGCCCCAGTGAGTTTATGAGTCTGGGGAAGAACTGAGAAGGTGGATTCTCAGAGTCTGATAGAGGGTTTCCTACTTCCTCCCACCACATAGAATCCCAATAGGGTGGCAAGTGTTAAAGTCCACTATGTGGAGAATGTGGGTGTGTGTTTTCAGTCAACTGGTGCCACACTTCACCTCTACTTTAAGCCAAGTAGAGCTGGTGTTTCACCGTCTGCCCCGTTGGCCCAAGGTAGCTCACATGGGGCCCAGACCCAACTCCATGGGAGATGACCTCCTCTGTGTATAATTTAAGGTTAATATGAAACCATCAGGCTTGGTCTAATCAAAGGCACCTCAGCTGGGAACTCTGAGTAATAGAGTTACTATGGGGGGGGGGGTGGCAGGAGGGGGCGGTTCTTAATCCATCTGCTAAAATTGATGGATTTCCAGTCCAATGACTCTCAGGTGAAGAAAAGTATCAAAAGAAAAAGCAGATCCTAACAGCTGACAAGTGTACACTGATCTCTATCTGTCCTCTCTGCACTCTCCTCCCTCAAGCAGAAGATGCCACAAATTTTATGGAGCTCACTATGGATGCCACATAGCAGGGAAGTCCAGGTAAACACGTAAGGGCTCACACTAGCTGTGAATGCACACACGGCGGACTCAGGACCTATGCTAGCTTGGAGACGAGCAGAGGGCAGGCATCTGTCAGTACCTGCCGCTCCCTTGTTTAAGGTAAGCAAAGGCACCCCGCATCTCTACAGCTCTACAGGTGGAAGGAGTGGGGGAGTGGCCAGGTCCCCAAAGACAAGAGTGATCCACTTATGAGGGAAGGCAGAAAGGGGCAGAATTCAAGTTCTGGAGCTCCAGCCCCAATGAGAGACAAGTACCTTTCCCACCCACAACACGCTTCCATTCTGGCTCAGATAAATCACTACAGACAGAAACCAAGGACCCAGCCTCTAAGCTGGACTGGGGCTGCTGGCCCTTCCCGACTGGGTGGATCAACCACAGTGCCCCATCACGGCAGCTGTGAGCATATGGGTGGAGGACCTCTAGGGGCTACAACTCTTTAAGAGCCCACAACTCTTTAAGACACACACAAAAAACCACTGAAGGAATTCAGTCCTAAGTGTTTCACTAAGTGACCTGGAGGCCCAGAGAAAGGGAAGAGCCTTATCTGATGCCCGAGGCTCTCCAGCCCACCCCCCACCCAAAACTCCCCTCCACTCCTAGGAGGCAGGGAAGAAGAATTCACCGAACATTAATCTCCATTGAAAAACTGCTCTCACACAATCACAACTTGACAATTCCATGCAAGCAAGGGTGATAATATCAGCAGGGTTTTTTGTTTGTTTCTGCCCTTCTCTAGGTAGGTGGGGTTGGGGTAGTGGATTAACGAAACCCTCTCTCAGTCCAGATTGGAAATTCTCTCACGCTTTCAGACAGCACAGTGTTAATACAGCAACGTATGTCCCAGCACTTATGACACCAAGAGAAGGGACCCTGGACCGGTGTGAGGTCAAACGACAAACCAGAAAGCTACGCCTCTGCTTGCATCTCCTGAGATGGCTGTTCTAGCTCCTCCAACATGAAAAAGGAAGAGGAGGGAATAAAGACCTCAGTTGAAAGAGAGGGTTGAGAGACCCATTAGGAAGTCCAGTACACCATGGCTGCTCGAGCAGGTGCAGCACAAAGCAAGTTGGGACTTTCCCTGACCAAATGATGTCTAATTTGCCAAGGCACCGGGATGGGGCAGGGTGGGGGCCAGGACAGGTTGGGGGGCAGGGTGGGAAGTGAGGATGGGGTGAGTAAAGAGGGCTGTGTGTGAGAAGCCTGGTGCCCTCCCCAGGTCAGCAGCATCTGGAGCTGTTTCTCTAGCGGACAGTAAAGAACTCGATTACATCCAGTTAACTGTGCTCTAAACTGATTATGCATGTGCTGGGCTAATGGATTACATTAGCAAGAGGAAAAATCACATGCAATCAATCTCCATTTACTACAGGCCACACCAGGGCCTAGAGAAAAACTGACTCTCAACCACCTCCAGGCCCCACCCCAAATCTATGGACTCGTGACACCATACGACAGTGAGCCCCCTCAGCGGCAAAGCAAGTCTGTCTTAATCACACCGCAGGACAGAAAGGCTTGGCGCACGCATTGGAAGAAGCCCATCTCTGTGTCACTCAGGGGTGGGTGAGAGAGCTCCCCGCCCCCACAGCAGAGCCACAGCAAGCAAAGGGACATTCATTACCCAAGGACTAATGAGACCAGACTCATGACCTACGGCTCCTGACACACAGAATTGTGCTCTGAATGTGGGGAACGTTCACCCCCGGGGTTGTGTCGGCCAAGTGCACTGTTTGGAGACTTCTTTAGACACTGGTTCCCCAGTTCTATCCCACACCCCAACATCTGTGGCCCACCTGCACTGCCTTTTTTGATGAGGAGTCTTCTCCATCTTTTAAATTCAAAAGAGAGACAGAGAGAGAGAAAATAAGGCCAAGGAGGATGAGTGTCCACAGTTCAGCAAAACACAAACAGAAACACACAAATGGCTCCCTTACATCCATCCAGGAAACTACCTCAACCTGACTTGCTAAGTGTGATGCGTGAAGGTGTCCTGGGGACCAAAAAAAAGTATAATCTCAGAGAATCCTCCGGGCTCCAGGCCCCTCAGAAGCAAAGTCAAGGGCGTGATATACTCTTACTGGAGAATGTAGTGTGGAAAGTTCATCACCGCCATGTAGGCTTTATAATGAATCTAAAGGGCCTTTCTCCCCTCAGATGGAAGAGGACAGTTGCTTGCCAACTCTAAACAGCCTTCGTCAAAGTGGTAGACAGTCTTCCATGACCATGGGGTGGGGGGGTGCTCCGAACTAATTTTTCTCAGTCGGGTCCTTTGGAAATAGTTTTCCTATGGGTTTCCCGTCAGGTTTTCTTGACCACAATCAGTACCGCGCTACGGCCACGGGAGACCTCTAACTTAAAGTGACTGCCAGGAGCCTCTTCTGTTAATGGTGACACAAAACTAAGCCATCCAGTGAGGTTCTTGCTGACTTATAACACAAGGGGGTCAGCTGCTTGGCGTCCAGACCTTCCCCACTGCACCACGCCAGCCCATCTGTGCCGGAGTCGGCAGGCGATTCTAGAACCCTCTATTTCTACTGCCTCACTTCTGCTTTCTCTTCCTTTCCCTAAAATGGTTTCTCATCCACTCTACCCAGGACTCTCGCCAAGCTGAAAACGAGCAATTGTAAAATGAATTACAGTTATCAATCTCGACAGAGACTGACATAGGGAAAGGACCTGAGGTCTTCCTTATTTGAAGTCTCCCTTGAAAATCGCCAGGAGTAGAAAGGGGATTAAAACTAGCTCAGGGTCAAAAGAAGTGCCCCTGGCCCCGAAGAAGATGTGGGAAATGGCATGAAAGGAAAGAGGGGAGGCCGATAATAAAAGGGAGGAAAATGCAAAGAGAGAGTGAGGGTGTGGAAGGTATATGGGAGGAGGCTGGGCAGATTTATGGCGATTTGTACCTGATTGTTCATACTAAAGCCATTATGGGATGATTAGAGAAAAAGGTGAGGCTTTAAGTCCAGTGAAAATCAATAGAAACGTCTGGAGCAATTCTGCCTCGCAAGTGAAAGGACTATTTACAGTATCTGAGCACCTCCTCCTCACCGTTACCGTTACCGTTACTGTCTATGGATTGAGAGAAAGACTGGAGGGGGTGGGAGGAAGGAAGGGGAGGGAGGGAGGGAGGGAGGGAAGAATGGAGGGAGGGAGAAAGGAAGGAAGGAAGGAAGGAAGGAAGGAAGGAAGGAAGGAAGGAAGGAAGGGAAGAAGGGAGGAAGGGAAGAAGGGAAGGAGGGAGGAAGGAAAGAAAGGAGTGAAGGAGAGGAGGGGCCAGGAGGGGAGAGGAGGGGAAGGGAGGGGAGAGGAGGGGAGAGGGGAGACAGAGAGAGAGGAAGAGGATGGAAGAAGCCCAGGGGGAAAAAGGGGAAATGCAAACATGAGATAGAGAAAGGGGCACAGAACAAAAAGAACAGAGGAGCCCGCTTAACTGATCCCAATTTTCCCAATAGCACGTGCCACCTTCTAGTCAACTATGCACTGTATTTATCATCCACCTCCCTGCAAAAGAATGGAAGCGCCATGAGGGCAGGAATTTTTTTTGTCTGTTTTGTGCATGGAGGTGGGCATGTGTCCAGAACAGCACCTGCTATACAGTAGGTGCTCAATACGTACCTAATGAATGGATGAATGAACGAATGGATGAAGGAATGAACCAAGGCACAAACGAACTAAGTCCTCCAGAGGCATTTAGGAGAGAAGAGATTAAGGGGCGCGGGGTGGGGACGAGATGGAAAGGGAGAACATGAAGCATGTATGAGAAAGGGACAACACAGGAGCACGAGGGTACACAAAAGCCACAACTAACAACTCAAGGGGAAAAAAGCCAACTGTAAAGACACTGTCGATGGGGAAGTATCGGGCTGCTGTCAACGGAACCCGCCCTCCGAAACGGGCACCTCTCAAAAACAGCCTTCAGGTGGCAGAAGCTGCCACCGCACTGCAGCTTCACCAGGAAGCGGATGCCAACTCCCCTTCCAACACCGGGTTACCATCCAGCCACCAGCCCCGCTGCGACACAGCCCGTCCCCTGTCCCCGGCACCCAGCACCCAGGGATCCGAGGCATGCCTTCCAGAAGCAGCCCGGGGCTCACCTTGTACAGCTTCAGGCTGGCCTCGTGTCTGGAGTTGACCGTGTGCAGCCGCAGCTTCTCCAGGCTGTTGGTGTAGTAGTCACACGCGTTGCACTTGAGGTGGACAGGGTTGCCGATGGCCACACACTTGAGCCGCCACTCATTGGCTTTGCCACCCTCCTTGATGTGGGCCACCAGCTGGTACTTCTGCACATGCTTGTCGGTCTTACAGTGCAGCTGGAAGTTGGCCTTGAGCTGGGTGTTGTAGCGGCAGAGTTTGCACTGGTACGAGTCCCCCATCACGGCCTTCCACTCGTCCTCCGGGAGGCTGCGCTCCACGTTCATGTGCAGCCCCAGCATGTCCAAGTTGTCCGTGGTGAACTTGTTGCACACGGCACACTGGAAGAGCTTCAGAGACGGGTCGTTGGTCTGGATGAAACTCTCGCCCAGGTTCATCAGCTCCTCCGACACCAGTTGCCCGCCCCCGAGGCGCATGTCTAGGGGGATCTCACCGCCCACTGTGGGGAAGGAGAGGGGAAGAGAATCAGCGGCCGGGCTCACAGATGCAGCTGAGGCACCCCCCAGCCTCCCTGACCCTCAGCCTAGGTTCCAGGAGAAAAAAGATCCCATTTCAAGTGTTGCAAGGTGCTATGACCTGGAAACACCACCACCCCCCCCACAAAAAATCAACTTTATGCGTAATTATGTGTTCAGATCTTTTCCTGTGGACTTTCTGAAATTTGTAAAAGGTTTCATGTTTTTTGCCCCACTTTGGAAAAGAATACCTAGAAGCACAGTCTCTTGAATATTTCAGTTCGGCCCCTCACTCTAATCCAAGAAAAGACAGGAATAAGCATCATTCACTAGACATAACAGAATCTGAAACTCCAGACCCCTCAAAGTTGGAAATGAGTTACAGCTGTAATCTAAGATATGAAGCCTTCAAGGTAAATGAGAATCGGGCCCAGAATTTATCTAAAGCAGCACTGCCCAACAGGACTTTCTACAATGATGGAAACATGTTGTACCTGCACAGTCTGGTGTGCTAGTCACTAACCACGTGTGGCTGGTGAACACTTAAAATACGGCAAAGTTGCAGCCAAGCGACTGAATTTTTTATTGTATCTTTTTAGTTCATTTCATTTAGATAGCCACATGTGGCTAGTGGCTCCCACAGTGGAGAGCGCAGCTCTAAATCTGAGATTTAGGGGACGGTCTCCCTATTCCTCATCACGCCCCGCGGGACAATAGTCTACCTGCCTGTCAACGGTGCCAGCTCCTCCCACATGTCCCCAAGAATATAATCACTCCCCTTTTCTGAGCCCCCACGGTGCATGAAATGTTAGGTCTGCTATGGGCCATGTCACATTCTCCTTTGTCATCAACCACATGCAGAGCCACGTGCTGCCCGGTGTCCCCATCAGGGTACAGCCTCTTTAGGGCAGGGGTCCAGGCTTCTCCTGGCTGAACCTCTAGAGACCGCCCAGCCCCCTACACAGATGCTGTGCAGGACAAGGCTAAAGGGGAACCAGAATGTTACAGGTTCAGGAAGTGGATCCAGATGGGCAGTGAAACGCAAAGGTCAGCTCAGAGTCCCCCCAAAAGGGTCTGAGAAAGCTCTTCTCTGCCCTTCTCGCCCTGGTTGTTTTTCAGCTCTACAGTGCCCTGCACAAACTGGGGATGGGCTTTCACTCACCAGTGGTAAATTAATACTGCAAGCTCTTACTTCTACCACAAAATAGGCTTGGAAACAGCAGCCTTCTCTCCATTACCTAGCAGCATAAAGTCCAGCAGAACGCTGAGCACTGGCTTCTATTTTTTGCCTCTCCCCCCAAACGCACTCACACTTGAGCTATTATGTCTGCCCCTGCCCCTCCCCAACTGATACTCAGACTTGACCTTTTACATGTGGTTGGCCTGAGGTTTTGTTTTATTTTGTTTTGTTTTAATGACTGATTACAATCCAAGTTAGCGGCTAATCAAATAAAAGATTTTTTTTAATGATTTTCTTATTTATGCTACATGAGGCACCTCTAGTGAGAAGATCAGTTACAAGGTTCTACCGAGCTGACTGGCTGCATATGAAGCCTGTGGACAATCTAGCAAGCCGCAGAAATCTTTTGCACGTGCATTCCAGAAGGCTCAGGAAGCTTTCTGCTTGTCTTCTCCCCTGCCATCTCCCCTGGTGAGAGGAGCCTTAACTAAGACATTCTTTTTAGGACGGGAGAGAAAAAGAGGAGGGGGGAAAAAAGCCTAAAAGCTCCATCCCTTAATGGGGACAAAGGCCAGGTAGCATCCATGAAACATACGCTGTGTTCAGTAAAAGCAGAAATTGCCCAGAGGGTAAGACAAGGAGCAAACATATATTTGTTTCTGATGCCAACCACCTGAAGCATCAAATCTTCTCCACTTTTTAAATTTAACCTCAGCACATCAATATTGCTCTAAAGAGAAATTCAGCTGTCACTTGCTGGATGCCTGAGTAAAAATGAGAAATCCTCACACACACAGAGGAAATAAGTCCCTATTCCCATTCCAAGCTCTTGAAATGCAAATCAAAGACACAGAGAAGCAGTGAAATGAAGGCGACAGGAAAGCCAAAACTCCCTCCGAGAACTCTACCTTGGAGGAATGAACACAGGGCTCAGAATCCTACAAATCTGTAGAGCTAGAAGGAACTAATTCAGCCTCCAGGAAGTGGCAGAACGTCACCCATTTCTTGGGAAGTTAGGAAGAGAGCCCGCGTGAGCGAGAACTCAGCCGGTGTTTACTCTTGAAGCTACACCGGAGGTAACATCTCTGTGAGGGGGGGACCCCACCTCCCCACACACACACCCAAATCTAATACTTAGAATTTACACCCTGGCACAAGAGCCCACCCATGAGCACATCGTCAGAGAGGCACGTGCGTTAAAAGACACCTTCCAGACCCAAAGGCAGAAGCAGAGGACCTCGTAAACCTCATGCAGATGTCCTGTAGCTAGGCGGCTACCTGGAAAAGCAGATACCCCGCCAGCTGTTTCTCAGTGCTGTGCTAAACTTGATCATCGAAAGCGATGTCTGGAAGGATATTCAGATGGCTTCGAGTCTAATATCTTATCTACAAATGGCAGCAAAATCCAACCAGACCAGACCAAAGGGTGCCAGCCCTCTCCTTAAAGCCCTCCAGAAAGAAACCCTTCCCAGAAGCAGCATCTGTTTGGTATCACAAGAAAGAAGGCTCTGTCAAAAGAAGTATGAGAATAATAACTTCGTAAGTAGAAATGTATTTCACAAAAACATTTTTCCCCCTGCGGAGCCCAGGAATACCCAGTAACACCTACAGCCTGCTCACAAATGGCCTCAAGAAAGATTGGCAAAGTTGCATATAGAACTTAATGTTTTGGCTCTTTCACATTTGCATACACCAGCTTCTACCGAGGTCCTACGACTTACTCTACAGGACCTCTGGACACATGCTCTCATACCCACACCCACTCAGGCTTCCAGGATAAAGGATCTGGGACTCTAGCTCCATCTCAGCTGTTCTTGGGCACTAAGGGCACAGAAGGTTTCCAGAGACTTACCTTGGCTGATAAGCAGTAACCATGAAAATTCAAGGACCTTTGCTTGGCTGACCTGGGAAAAGCCCTTAGAAGGAAAAACTCTATTCTCTTTAAGAAATAAAGTATGGATCTGCTATACATGTCCAGAACACAGGGATTTATTCTACCATTTCTTTTCCATCTGCCATATGCCCATAATGCATGATGCCCCGCAGACTCACAGACACTTGCGTAAAAGCAAAATATTTTTCTACCACTTAATTCAAGTCTTAGTCAGAATTACTGGTTTTCAAGGTAATTAAAAAGATCTCACTTTGACCCAGTATGAACCTATCCATTTTCTGTGTCTTCATTCTACCTACATTATATTTGATTTACTCCAAGATCTGCCTCCCCAAGATTTTAAATCTCCAGATGAGAAAACCTCAATTCCCATAGGCTTTAAAAAAAAAAAAAAAAAAAAAAAAAAAAAAGGCTTACAGTATGATGCCATCCCTTGGTGTGCAAACCCTATGGTTCACTCTGGGGACAAATAAAATAATTGATTTCTGTGCATCCATTATTAACCAGTTGGTAAAACATCTTCAAATCGTTTGGTAATAAAGGATCCACGGGTCAATATTCCAAAACAGAAAATAAGATTAAAGTAGTAAGAATTCGCAGGAAAAACAAATTAAATGCTATGAAATATAACTCATCAGCAGCAATTAGCACTAAAACACCATACGAAGACGTGCCAACTGGGGAGGCTTGGCCCCTGGCATTAACCTAAACCATGTCAGATTAAAAGTTATCTGCTCACACTTTGTTGCTGAGAACGACTTATTCCAGTGTCAGTAAAGGAATACTGCTTAATCCAGGCCACCACCTTGGTCCCAAGAGGTTAGCCGGGTCAGGGGACAGAGACCAGGCAGTGCCTGTCTGAGGCACAGGTGGTGGGAGCAGCAACAGCCCCCATCATACTGGTCCTTGTAAAAGTGATTTGTACATTCTCTCGCTATAGAGGTTCTACCCTAAAAGTGATTGTGATTCTTTTGATGCAAAGACCGATGACTTTTGGCATCCAAATCCTATCCTCTTGATCCGATTCTAGGTCAATTAAGCCAGTTGGTAAGACTTGCTGTCCGGACACGGCCGACTCACCTTCTCCAACATGGGTTGTTTTTTCACGGCCGACAAAGGCTCCATTAACCATCATCTAATGGATATTAGAATTCAACTTTCTTTGATGTACAATTTTAGAATGTATTCATTTTTCGTCTAGCACACCACTCTTTATGGTGCCCCGGGGCAATTTAATTCCCAACTATACTTATCAGCGACAACTCACGCAAAACAAAAAAGAAAAGAACGCGTCTCTTTCACGGAGATCCTCGTGAACACACCCGAGAACTTTGAGCACTTATCTGGATGGCTCCCTGCTCGGCACAGAACCCAGCGTTCAGTTATCTGAATAAGGTACACTGTGATTTCGAGTCTTTCTTATGGAGAGGACTGTCCCTGTTTACAACTTGAACGGCAGTTTCCTGTAGATTACAGTAAATATCTAATGGAACCCAGAAGTTTCAGATAATTGGGGCGATTTTTCAAATTGAGAAAGAGATGAAGAAAGAGAAGATGGGAAGAGGAAGGGAAGTTGACCAGAAGCCAAAAACTAGAGGAAACCCTTCAACTTTAATCCCAGCCTGTGCAGCCGGAGTATTACCACGTGTGGGTGCTGAATACATACGACCCCCCACAGGCACACAAGGGGTCCTTGAGAAAAACACCTGACAGTCAGACACTCGAGTGTATACAACACCACTCTGGAGAAAATCAGCATCAGCCGAATCCACAGGACCTCAGTCTATTCTCGGTTCTCCCCAGTTAAACTCAAGTCACCAGAACAAACAAACACGGAGTCAGCCTCACCTAGAGCAGGCGTCATGGCGGCCATGGGCCCGGCGGGATCCAGCTGGAATCCACTCATCATGAACTGGGCGTCTGAGGCAGTGTTATCCATCTTCAGGTTGGGCAGGTTCATGTTCTGGGCCAGGTAGTACTGGTAAAGCTCGGCCTCGGCGGGCGAGGGCAGGCTGCCGAGGCCCAGGTGGCGGTTGTGTTGAATCTGGGACATGTTCTGCTGCAGCAGCATCATGTTATGCATGTGCTTCTCGCTGGTCATGTGGATGCGCAGGTTCCTGGCCACGTTGGTCTCGTAATCGCACACCTCGCACCGCCAGGTGGGTTTGGTTTTTGGTTTGGTGGGCGAGGGGGCCCCGCAGGAGCTGCCGATGTTGGCCGCTGCGGCCGCAGCCGCCGCCGCCGCCGCCGCCGCCCCGGCCGAGTGGCTGAACACCTGCTCCCCCCCTCCGTTCTGCAGGTTCTGCATGTTGTTGAGATGCTTGTCGGACTGCATATGAATACTGAGGTTGCCTTTGGTAGTTGTGGAGTAGTTACACACCTCACAGCGGAAAGGCTTGTAACCACACGTGTAGCTCTCACCTCGTGCCAACCGAGGGTGGGGCTGCCCGCTTTTGCAGTAGACACAGGAGCCCCCCGGCTCCGGGTGCTTCTCCTTCATGTGAGCCTCCAGTGTCTGCTGGTACTTGTAGTGCCAGTTGCACTTGGGGCACTTAAGTGTCTTACATGAGTTACGAGAATGCATCATGGTCATGTGGCCGCCCAGCGAGCGGGAGGAGCCCAGGACCGTGTCGCATTTGGGGCACTCCACGCCGCTCCCCGAGGGGCATTCCCCAACCCCAAGCTCACAGAGGGAGCCAGCGTGCTGGTGATGGGGGACAAAGCCCCCATCGTCACCCTCTGTGCTTTCATTTGGTTCTGGTGCTGTGGCATTGTCTTTATTGGCACTTTCGTCAGCAAAGTCCAGCCTCCTGCCGCCCTCTGCCACATTGGCCCTGACGCCCTCACTGTTAAAGCTTAAACGATTCCTCCTGTTCGCACCATCAAAGACAACAAAGGAAGAAGCAGAATTAGAACTAGTAGAAGCTGTGCCCCTCGACAAGGTCTGGAGCACATTAGGCATTAAGGGGGAGTTAGAAATGCTTTGGTTTGAGAGAGCAAGGTCCTTTTTGCTGCTGCTACCTGCCATGGCCCCAGCCTCCTCGTGGGGCCTGTCCTCCAGTTCGTCGTCCAACTCGCTTGGAAAGAGTCCTTTGCAACCCTCGTCTTCCTCCTCCTCTTCTTCCTCCTCTTCTTCTTCCTCCTCCTCCTCTGCCTCTTCTTCCTCCTCTTCCTCCTCTGCCTCCTCCTCGGCTGGCTCTGCTTTCTCGGAGAAACAATCCGGATCGCCTACTTCTTGCTTCTCTCCTTCTGCTGCCCCAGAGTCCTTGCCCTCTGAGGATTTGGTAGGACTGGAGGCCAGAGGCCCCAGGGGGACTGAGGTAATGGGGGTCTTCAGGACCGAGCTGGTGAGCCCGCCAAGGTTCAAGAGGGTGCTGGGGGTCAAGATACCAGCCTGGGGCTGCTCGGGGCCGGCAGCAGAGCCGGCTGGGAGAGCCTCCTCCCCTTCCATCCGAATGCCACTAAATTTCCCATAAAAACTGTGTCCGGGGCCTATGAGGTTAGCCGTAGAAACTAAAGGGTGTTGAAAGTTTTTGTTTTTTGGTTCCAAAAAACTCACAAGGGGTTCCTTGTCTTTGCCAATCCCTTGGATGATAGCGGAGATGTTCTTATTGCTAAGAATTTTCCGCTCGTCTTCACTCAGGGTCATTCGATGGTCGTGCACCGCGTGGGTCACAAACGAACGGACGTACCCGAAGGAGAGTTTGCACAGGAAGCACATCAGGATGGGCTTCCTCTTGCCGTAGAGCACAAAGCCATCGAATTTGGACAGGTCCACGTTGTTGGGAACATCTTTGGATACGCAGGAGCTTTTGGCGGAGCCGTCGCTGTTCAGGTAATCCTTGTTGCTTTTGTGTCGCACGTCAAACACGCGGAAGCTGTGCAGGACGGGGCTGAGCCCCGTCAGGGCTGAGGTATTCGGGAAAGCCTGGTCTGGGCCCTCAAACCATTTCCCGAAGGATGAGGCTATGTGGAAAGTGTTGATGATCTGTGGGTAGACTGGTGCAGCACAAGAAGGGTCCCCTTGTTTGCCCCCCGCCCCGGGGAGAGAGTTCAGGAAGAGCGAGGGGGGGGGCCCGCTGCCGCTGCCACAGGCGCCCCCGCTTTGGGTCAGCTGGCTCAGGCTCTCGACAATGTAGGCCGAGCCATCGGGCTGGTAGACTATCTCCCCAGCCAGGTTCTCCACATCACTCTCCTCGTCCCCCTCCTCACTGGTGTCGCTCCCGCTCTCCCCCCTCAGGGGCAGCGGGGGGCGCGCGCTGGGACAGTGGTGCTCCATGTAGGTCTGCAGGCTGGCGAAGGAGGCCGAGCACCCGTTGCAGCTGACCTCCTTGCCGGCGGGCTCGGCGGTGGGGCCGGCCGAGGCGGAGCTCTCCGCGAGGCGCTCATTGAAGGGGGCCCTCAGGCTGTCCAGGGGCCCGTGGTTCTCGCTTGTGGACTGCTCCATGCTACTGGGTTTGTCGGGGAGGTGGGTGCTGTTGAGTTCAGTCCATTGCTGGTGCTGAGGGATACCGCACCCATTGTCCTTCCCCGAGACGACGGGCGAGTCACAGCCTTCCATGGTAAGGCCTGCGTAGAGCTTTCATTGCACCCAGTACGGATCGGACCTGAAGAGCGGAGGCAAGGGGGGGAGAGGAGGGAGAGAGGGGGAAGAGAGAGAGAAAGGAAAGAGGTTAGGAGGGCCGAGGCTAGGTCCCGCACAGAGCACTCTAACAGGCTTCTGTCCACACCCACAACAGAGACCGCCAGGGCAGCAGGGACCCCGGCCATCTCCCCCACGTCGTCCAATGAACGCGCAGAGGGCGGGTGAGAGCCCGAGGCATGACGGCCAGGGTCCGTGGCATGAGTGGGGAGCATGGGGACGGGGCGGGGGGTGCAGACAGGAGACTCCCTCCTTGTCTTCAGACTGTCGGCTCCTCTCCCCCTGGAGACCGGTTCGAATTTCTGTTCTTTGCGAGCACAGTGTGAGAGTCGGGGCTGGGCCTCGAGCCACAGCAGAGGAAGAGGGCCACATTATCTCGCCAGGCCCCACCAAGGACGCGGAATGGCGGCCCCACCGAATAGAGATGGCCAGCTCAAAGTCACTGCCGGCTGCCCACGCTGTCTGTGGGGCAAGGGGACACCAACAGGGAAGGATGGACGAGAGGAGAGAGGTTTTGCACCCCCAGAGAAAGGCTGGTAAACCTGCAAGAGGATACGCTAGCTGATTTAGAGGTGAAGCTGCTGCTGTTGCTCTTACTGGCCAAACGTCTAGTTTGACAAGTTCAAAGGAAAGTGATGGAGGGCTGCAGGGCTCAGAGAGCAAGCCTGCAGGGCCCAGACACGCTCTGCAGGCCCTCGACAGGGCCTATGCCTGCTTTCATCCTCTGTGGGTCTGGGAAGCATCATCCCATTGTACAAACAGTAACACTGAGGAGCTAAATCTACAAACAGGCCCAATGCCGCCCCGACACTGTGAAGCAGATGGCAGATCTCCAAAATCCCATCTCCAACCCCGCCCCCCTGAACCCACTGAGCACGCCTGCTTGTGAGTGAGCTGGCTTCAGACTAAAAACGTGATGGTGCAAAATCTGAGCTTGACGTATCTGGGAAGACTCTCAACTGGCCGGCTCCCCCTCCGGCAGCGTCGATCTTGCCCTGTCTGGATGGAGCCCGGTCACCACTGGTGTGGCGGTTTCTGCTGTCAGGGATCCTAGCGGCAAGCCGAGACGGCAGCTGGGCTCCACCGGCCCCCATTCCACACCTGCCTCGTAGTTATTAGTAGCTGCTCAAGCAGCTGTCCTTCAGCCCCGGGGCTTTTCCGCTTCCGACTGGAGTGCCACAGAGCTGAATCTGCCCTCTGAGACTTCGCATCCCTGGGGAGGGAGGCATCAGATCCCCTGCCATCGCTCTGCTCCTGTGGCCACATCATCACAGGGGCATTTCTTCCATCCCGGCATGGATCCTACAGTCGACTCAGCCTCTTGGACGGCCCCGATTGTTCAGCTGCAAATCCCAGGCCACACTCCCCCCTACACCTCCTTCCTGGAGAACATTTGGCTGCTTCTCCACCCAACATCTCATTCATACACATCGGAGGAAGGTTTTGGCCGGGTTTGGTCTCTCTCCTTCCCCACCCCACCGCTATGTTCCATTCTTTTTCATTTCTTGATTCTTGACTGCACAGTAAGCCAACAGCTCCCCCTCGGGAAAAGACAGGGAAGGCAGGTTTACCCGAAGTCTCTGGAGAAATAGCTTTGGAAAAACGTGTCCTGTTTTGTTCAACACACACACACACACACACACACACACACACACACACACACACACACGGCACCTCTCAAGCTTATAACCTCAAATTCCATTACAACAAAGTTCCGTGTGCCTTAGAAAAGGCACATTGATTTTAAACAGAGATAACTACATGAAACCAAACCACACAGCAAATGCGATGGGACTTCAGAAGGCTTAGCTGGGATACAGGTGAGAATCCAGGGTGGCTCTTCTTAAGGATGCGCCTGATTGGCTGGACGACATCTGATTGACAGCTCAGGCCAAAAAGGTTGGCAGGCTGAAGGGGCGGGAGGGTTAACAGCCCGATTGTAAAATCAATGTCATAAATGCTTGGTAAGTTACAGGAACATGCTGGAAGGGGAGGCCACGATTGATAAAGGAGAACAGCTTTGATGCTTCACTAGGGACTTGAGTATCGACAGCAAAGCCAATCTCCTCTCCAGCCTGGGCTAGGCCAGAGAAACCTGCAAGCGTTTACCAATTAATTGGTGGGCTTTTCTTGTTCAGCTCTCTCTTACCTCCTCCTCCACAAGCCATCCAGCTAGGCAGTCGGGACCTACAAAAACTTGCCTAACTTTTCTGTTCCCAAGCAAAAGGTGTCCAGCAAGGATGACACTGTGGCCACCTATAAAAGACAGATGACCCCGTGGTGGTGCCACCTGCCCCATCAGAGAGGACACGTGGAATACCACTCATTCACAGAGAGTGATGACAGCCCATTAAGACACCAGTGGGATAGAAGGGTCCACTTCAGGATCGAGGCTCTGGGCTTCCTTTCAATGCATGCTGGCCACAACAGGCAGAACCATTTCTACCTTGCTAAGTGAGGTGTGCTTCTGGGACAAGTAGCGTCATTCTTCACCAGGGCGCCTGTGAAATGCAGTCTCTCAGGCCCCGCTCCAGATCAGGATCTGCATTTTAACATGATCCCCTGGGGACAGGCATTAAAGCTTGAGATACTCTCTGCTTCACAACATCTTCACCAGATTGCCATCTTTTCCATGCTTGATGCCTGGACTGCTAGGTAGCCAGGCAGGATTGGTCTTAGATTCCCCCACCGATTCCGGGGAGGTGCAGGGATGGGGTGGGAGGTGCAGAGAAGGGACCTGAGGGTAGAGATGAAGCAATCCCTTAAACCTGCCCAATCCTTCAGCTCAAGGACCTCAGGCTCTCCAGAACTCTCCCACCCGACCGGCTGTCCCTCTCGCTCTGTTTATCAGCCAGTCAATAAGAAAAAGGTAGTTCTTACTTAAGGAGGCAGAAGTCAACTCGGCAGGTCGATCAGCACTCTGTCTGTAAACACGGTTTCCCGTAAAATCAATGATCTTCAGTTACAGAGGGCAGCCTGGGAACCCAGCAGGTCCCCACACGCTCACACGCAGGCCCGCCAGCAGCCTCCGTTGAGACCCTCACACCCCACCCCCAGCTCTGCACCCCATCCCCTCACCCTTCACTCGTGCCAGGGCCAGCTCACGCATACCAACTTACAACCCTTCCTGCAGCCTGCTTGTCTTCTGCTGCTTGTGACCCCAAATTCCCTTCCAAACACAGACACACTCTACTCATGACCTCCCAGTATGGTACTCAACATGGTCTGTGCATGGTTTTAAGACATCGGTTAGATTTCAAAAGAGCACATCTTTCCAGTAAGACGTTCAATGGCAGATATAGGAGTGATCTAGTTCTCTCACACTCATTCTCTCTTAGTGTTTAAATCTGCCATGTGAGAAGTAGTCTTGTACAGAAAGTTCCAACATCATCATCAAAAGCCCCCACCCCTGCTCCTGTCACAAGTTACAGTCCCCCTGGACCCTACCTGGGAAGCTCCCCTGTATCAGCCTTTATTTACCAAAGATTGTTTAAAATGATAAGTCTCCCTATTACCCCGGGCCTCACCGCTAACAAGGTCATTCTTCTCCCTCTTTCAACCAAGAAGATGTGCTAGGACAATTTTCTGACACTGCTTTAAGGAGACAGGACTGGTACAATGCAACAGTTACTGGGAAGCTTGGCGGGGGGCAGGATATAGTTGTTAGAAAGGGGAGGGGTTCCTGCTGTTGCTCCAGCTCCCAGAGAATTAAACACGAACAGTCACACTGTGTAATTTTAAATTGTTAATTAGCACAGGGTTAATTAGGCGGTCCTTTCACAAGAGGCTGTTTGGCAGAAAACCAAGAAAAGAAACAAAGGGGAAGAAGAGAAAAACAGAGAATCCAGACTGCGAGAAACTGTTGCCTCCGCGAGTAATCCGTGCTGCATGCCAGAGAGAAGTGAAGTAGCAGGTAAACCATCCTCCATGAGCAGCCTGCTTGCTCTGCTGGACCGCCAGCCAGGGAACACCATACTCCACAAGCAGCCTGCTCAATTGGAGAGCCAGCCAGGGAGCACCATCCTCCACGAGCAGCCTGCTCTGCTCTGCTGGAGGGCCAGCCAGGGAGCACCATCCTCCACAAGCAGCCTGCTTGCTTTCCTGGAGGGCCAACCAGGGAGCACCATCCTCCACAAGCAGCCTGCTCTGCTCTGCTAGAGGACCAGCCAGGGAGCACCATCCTCCAGGAGCAGCCTGCTCTGCTCTATTGGAGGGCTAGTCAGGGAGCACCATCTGCCAGGAGCAGCCTGCTTGCTCTCCTGGAAGGCCAGTAACGGAGCACCATTTTCCTGAAGGCAATCTGGCAATAGGTATCAAAAGCCTCAAAAAACACACATGCCCTTTGACTCAGCAATTCCCCAATTCTAGGAAACAACCCAAGACACACGGCGGAGATACAGTATTACACATCACAACATTTTCAACAGGAAAAAAAAAAAAAGAAGATGGAAATAATCTGGTGAAAGAAGGGGCTCTCTAAATAAATGATACTGCATAGAGTTCCCTAAGACAATATAAAGTATCACTGTTTAAAGAAACTACTTATAGGAGTGGGAAAATGATCACAGAGGATATTGAGTGAATGAAGTATCTATAGGTCTGCACATGGAAAATACAGGAGATTTGTATCAGAACTTTTTAAATGGTAATCGCTAGGGGATGAGGTTATGGGTGACTTCCTTTCCTCCTCTGTGCCTTTCTTTCCCAAAGCTTTTAAAAATTAAAACCATCCTAAGGGAAGCCATTGCTTCTAGAATTAGGCATCCTGGGAAGGCCTACAGATACCACGCCACCCTCATAACCACTGTGTGAGACGGATGTTCTTTATATCCCTGTCTTTAGGATGGGAAAACTGAGTTGTGCACGTTCTACAGCCCAAATGATAAATCCATCATCTGGCTGTGAAGTCTGTCTCCTTA